ATGGAATGTAACAGTCTTAATTAAAGCATTTGCCAGATCAATCTGTATTGGAAACATTTAAAAAACCAGTTTCATTATCTGAGAAAAAATAGACTAGGTGGGATGTGGTGGAAATAGCGATTTCAATACAAAAGGATCTAGTGCCCTTTGCTCACCAAGGAAATGTGTTTATTTTGTAATCAAAGTGAGTCACATGCCATTAGAGAACTAATCATCTCCCACCTTCTAAGGACAAATTGGTAGGTTCCAAAAATCCCTGGTTTATTTGTAGATTCAGTATCTAATGATGGCATAAAGACATGCCTGGAGTAGTTTGTTTGTAATTGTAAACTTTCAGTTAAAAATGAAAAAGTAACAGCTTATGAAAATCAAAATATCTATTAAGATCTTTATGTTTGTTGTATACTCCTGCGTACCAGTCACATCTGTGGCTTCATCTCCTCTTTTCTACCTAGATAACTTTTCTAAGCATTGTTGTGGATCGCAGAGAACAGAGCTGAGCACCCTTACCTACAGCCAAAATGAAGGTGGTGGAAAGTATAGTAGTCTTTTAGTAGTCTTTTCTATTTACTCTTTGTGCTTCAGTATGTTCCTGTACCTTTCCTAAGGGCTGTGAAATCACTGAGACTGTTGTTAACTCGTAGTTCTGGGAAGACCTACAGTATCCTATAAAGGAAAAAATAAGGAACAACTGATTTATTTTTTAGATAATAGCCTTTAATGTTGAAAATGGTGGTTTATTAATTTCTTCATTTTATGCAGCTTTGGGTCACCAGGTGCGGAGAAATCTCAGCTCTTTATAGCTCCGTGCCATTAAAAACAAAAATCGAAAGATTAGCTGAACATATAGCTGCCAAAATACTGTTCTCAACTTTCTGTCATCAGATTATGTCCCACAGCTGTTGTCTGCAGCACTCTGCGTTACTGTATATTGATTTTCCTGTTACAAAATGTACTCTGTTTAAAATAAAAGGTCCATTTTTAATAAGGCAGCTATGGTTGAAAGTTGCAGCTGAGTGCTGGTTTTAAGGACAAACTGTGTAAACAAAAGGTCTGGTTGAATTTTATTTGAGGAGTGCATGGCAAATGTTTGTATAGCCTTTCCCAACAACAGGGACTATAGTGAACCACTATGGTTCAAAAACTTTTCTTTGAAACATTTACAAGAATGACATGATAACATGTCATGGAGTCACTTAAGGGAAGAGGAACAAACACTCAATTTATGAGCTTAGCCTCAGCTTTCCTGCCCCTGCTATCTCCAAAGCAGAGCGTTCACTGCTAATAAAAGCAGTTAGCAGCCTTTGGTTTGGGGCATGTATCCTTCACACTTACTGTTCTTGCTGGACTGCACATAACACTTTGCACATTCTTAGTTTTGTTTGTGATTTCTGATTTTGTTTCTCTGCCTCGTCTGTTTAAACTGTGAATTCCTCAGGCTAGGGTCTCTCTCCTGTGGCGAAGGTGCGGACACAGCTGTTGGGAGGTGTGATTCCAGCTGTGCACAACCAGGGCATCTGGCTTGGTACTGCTCGCAGTGGAGTTGTGATAGTGCAGAGAGCAGCAGGAGTAGCTGCTTGTCTGGGCGTCCTGGTGGGATTGGACAGCCTGCAGTGAAGCCTGTATCTTCCCAGTCTTGGTGCTTGAGCTAAATTGATTAAAGCTAGTTTAATGAGATCATTAGGTCCAGCCGTAACAAGGTTTCAACCTTTGGCATGTAAGAAAATATGATCACTGCAAAATGTGGAGAAGTTGGATAAGGAAAGATCAATGAGGGAGTAAACTGGTCTACTTCAGTTTTTCAGCTGGCAACATGAGGGACGTGCCCAGCCTGCGAAGAGTTACAGAGTGGCCTGTAACTCCTCCTTGGCTTTGGGCACACCACATGAGGATTTTGTAGCCCTGAGGAACCAGCTCTTTCAATAGCTTTTCAACAGCCACTTCCAGGAGCCAGTTGGTTCCAGCTTGCTGGCAAGGTCCAGGACACCGTACCAACAGCAGTGGCGGGAAAGGGTAGAAGGGAAGGGAACAGGGATTCTAACTGATTGGCTGGACTAAGACACGTTGCTTTGCTCAGTATCTTTTGCTGGCAGTAGTACTTGGACCAGTCTGCTTCCCTTACTAGTGCTGCTTTCTGTGCCGCTCTAAATGAAACAACAGACAGAAAAGTCCTGTTCTTGGGGACAAAGAGGAAGACAAGGCTACTGCTCGGCTCTTACAGACCTACGAAGAAGTCTGATGTATTTTCACATCTCTGTTTACCATTCTGTGTACTAGCATAATGGCTGAACAGTCATGAGGCTCAGCTGATTAATGTTCACAAATTGCTCTGAGCTCTTCAGTGACAGGTGGTATACTAAAGCAGAGTGTATTGAAACGCAGACATGAACATTAACTATTTAGCTACCTTGGGATGAGTGATAAAATAGGTACGTGAAAAACAGGCTGCTTTTTCTGCTATGTTCAAGGTAGCACTTCAAGATAGTGCACTCGAAAGATCTGGTCAGAGACATGCAGATTGTATTCATTGCAGGGTTACTTTCGTTAAGATGAATCATAACTTTCAATGAAAAAATAAATTTAATAGCCTGGAGACTCTATATTATTTCAATAATGATGTACAGCAAGACAGGATGCCCTTTAGCTATTCAAATGTACTTCTGCTGAGAGCTTGCTGAAGCAGCAAAGACTGGATACAGAACATACATTTGAGGAAATGTGGAAAACATCTTCATATGTTCTTAGACTAGCTCAAAATTTGAAATATGCTGAACTTTTAAAATGTATTTTGTTGTTATCAGATAAATGATGCGAAAGGAGTCCTGTTGTCATGGCTCAGTTTTGCAAAGAGCTGTGTTCCTTTTATTCTTCTTTTACAAAGTGATGTTAAAAATACGTACTGGCATTTTGATCTGATTTCAGAAGCACAGCAGAAGCACTTCCAGAGCTCTTGCAACACTGGTGAATAACAATACAGCCTGCTCCTAATTGGGCACGGGAGTATGAGCTGATATAGAATTTAAATGAGTATATCTACATATAGTTTTATATAACTCCTCTTAATTCTTTGATTAATTAGAAACCCTGATAACTCAAATAAATAAACAGCTATGACTGAAGAAAAACAAGGCTATAGTGTCAGAAATAGTTTAGCTTATTCACTCTGACTTGAACAGTATTATGAACATACTATCATATTTGATACAAATGTTCTTGTCATACCAGCAGAAACCAGAAAGCCTTCCTCCCATGAAAGAAGTATGAAAAGCAAGAAGCAATGAGGAGGGTATTGGGTGCAGCTATAGGAATGTCTCACTTCTCTGCCACTATCTCTGATGCTAAAACATTCCTAAGAAGTGGAGTGGGAAGGTGGGCTCGGGGAAGGTTTTTTGTATGATTGTGGGTGGGTATGTAGACTCATGTGATATACAAAATGTATCTGCAGCTCACAGAAAATGTGAGGCACCAATTGTTTGGCACTAGATTATTTTCTTCATAATTCAGTTTCTTTGTAGATGGTGTCAGTCATTAAAAATATACTGATAAGAAGATGAAACTCTTGTCTATTTTTTGCTAGAAACTTCAGTGTTAGTTACCTAGCTATGCTTATTTTATTGCTTGTTTTATTAACTACAGATGGTGCAAAGTGTTACTACTGTTTTGGTACAAGTGTTCTTTCTGAAAACATCTTTCTTTCTCTAAGGACCACTGGAAAACACTTAAAATCCACAGACAGTGGATCCACAAAATTTCTTTCTTTCAGTTCCGTTACTGCTGATTAGCAGATCTTTGTCCATCCTATGAAACCTCTTTGGTTTAGCCAGAGTTGTGAAAAATTTCCATGGACATTGGAGATACACAGGATTATAGTTTCCTTACGTTTCATGATTAAGCAGAAGCTAGTTTCCTTTGAATGTGTGCGCACACAAAGAACCTCAGGAAAGGGTCGGTTTCCATGATAAGAAGGGAAAAATGCATTTAAAATTATAATTTTCAGTTGTACAGTAATGTTGTTTAAAAAACTTGTGGTTTTATTTGCAGAGTAAGAAAAATGTACCATAGGATTGTATTAAGAGCTAAGGTTATTAGCTTGAACTTGCCAAAAGAAGATAGCAAACATTTGCAATTTTGAATAATCTTTTTTCTGCTGTGATTCAGTGCTTGCCATTTTTATGTAAATAGAATTTAAAGAGCATTTTCTAAGTGAAGTGTAGCCAATTAACTAAAATACCATGCTTTTAATGTTGTCACTGGCTCTTAAATCCTCTTCCAGATTTAGGTTTTGCGGGCCCATTTCCCACACTAATACATGTTTTTTCTCACTCTCCTTGAGCTGTGCATTTCTGCTAGAGCTGTGCTAAAGACTCCCAAAATTACTGGTTACTGATATTGGTCCCATCTTGAAACAGGCTTCATGAGGATGTTGTCAGTTGAACTTTTTTGGGCAGAGG